GTGTGCTTGAATAGTTGTTTTCTGTGATTGTCTTTCTTCTGTAAATTCACAAAGCAGGGGCATTCTGGTTCCCTGCTGTGTCCTCAGCAGGGGTGGGGAGGGAGGGAACAGGACCTGGCAGCAAGGTCTCTCCCACTGCTCCCCCACTTTGTGTCGATGCACTTCTGACCCCAGTCTCTTTCTTCACTTTTTTCAAGTGAAAATGACAGCAGTTCTTAATCAGAACTTCTTAATCACACCGCATTATCCTTCCGAGATGCTTTTACCTCCAGGAACCCATTGATTCACCACTCTAAATTACTATAATTACCACAAATGATAAAATAGCAGCTTTCCCAGTTTTCTTTACCCTTGCCAATTTGCATATGCTAATGCACGAACTTCTCCCTCCGACCCCCCTCCTGCTGGCTCTTTGGAGACATTTTCTGGATTTGAGTTTACTTTGCCCTGCTCCCACTCGGGGCTGGATCAGGGCAAGGAGGAGAAAGGTTCCTTCCTACCAAGGGAAAGAAACAATTTTCTATGATTTAAAAATGTGGTGAATTAGTGAAGGGAAATCTCTGCAGCCTTAGGAGAAGGGAGGGTGGGGAAGCAGTGGGTCCCCAGCCCTTGAGAAGCAGCATTGGAATTGCTGCTTCCAACAATGTGGGCCTGGTCCCCACCTCCTTGAGCCTCTTGTGCCTCTTAGGGAAACTGGACAGTTAGTTGTACCCAATGGAAGTTTGCATTGAGGAAGATATATGATCTTTATTTCTAAGAATTATGTTAACGTAGAATATAAAATTGAGCATCGTAACCATATGAAAGTGTTCAGGTCAGTGGTGTTCAGCAAGTTCGCATTGCTGTGCCTGTGCCACCTCCACCCCTAGATGCCTTTCCTGTTGCAGAACTGAAACCCTGATCCCATTAAGTGATCTCTGCCCATGTCCCAGCTCCCCCAGCCCCTGGCCACTGCCCTCCTACTTTCGAGTGCTCTGAACTTGCCTCTTCTAGGTGGCTCATGTAAGTGGAATCAGAGAGTACTTGTCCTTTTGTATCTGGCTTGTTTCGCTTACCATATTGCCTTCCAGTTTCTTGCATGTTATAGTGGGTGTCTGAATTTCCTTCCTTTTTTAAGTCTGAGTGATATTCCATTGTCTGGATATACCTTATTTTGCAAATCCATTCCTTCATTGTTGGGTTTTGGGTTGTTGGAAATAGCATCTTACAGGTTAAAACATCTTCAAAAATTTATAGAATGGCATAATTTTAGGAGGTGGAAGTGGTTAGGACAGTGAGCTTGGGACTCTGAGTCCTGGCCAGGTGTCCCTTATGCCCCTTGCATCTCGTGGGGCTGCTGTAAGGTCAATGGGGCTGCTGTGAGGTCAGTGGGGCTGCTGTGAGGTCAGCCACTAGGATGTGTAAATGGCTTAGCACAGGGACTGATCCCAATGGGCATTCACTCTTGAAGTCATTCATCCACTCAACAAGTCTTCACTGAGCACCTGCTATGTCCTGTACTCCAACTAAGTGCTTGGGATAGAACATTGTGTATCACACAGAATACCCACCTCAAGAAGGCAAGATGGACCATAATCACAGAAATATGAGAAAATGCATTACATCAGAGAATAAGGATTCGATAAGGATTGAAGCAGAGCAGGTTCAGGGGGATAGTGAGTGCTTGCGGGGAGAGGTGGAGCTATTTTATGGAGGGTGAGCCAGAAAGGTCTTCTGAGGACACAGGAATTCACAAGTGTGAGTGAGTGAGGATTGTTAGAGATGGAGAGAATAGAAATTCATCAGCCTCAAGGTGAGAGTATGCCTGGAATGTTCTAGAAATTTGAGATAGAGAGTAGCTGGAGACAAGGGCAGAGAGGTAGCTGGGAGTGAGAGTTGCAGGGCCAGGTGAGTTGGGATGAGAGAGACAAGTAGGCGTGAAAGAATTCTGAGCAAGAAAGTGACTTGTGTTTGAAAGCATTGCTCAGCCTGCTGCCCTGAGAGCCACTCCACGTGGGCAGGGTGGAGAGAGGAAGACCCGGGGCCATAACAATCCAGGTCAGGGACTGGAAAACTTTTTCTAACAAGTACAGATAGTAAATGTGTGTGGATTGGTGGAACATATATTCTCTGTTGCAATTACTCCCTTCTGTCTTTGGAAGGCAAAAGCCGTCACACACTGCTGTAATATGTAAACCAGGGCATGGGACTGTGGTCCATAAAACTTTATTTACAAAAATAGGCTGGATCTGGCTCACGAGATGTAGTTTGCTCATCCAGCTCCAGCAAGAGATGGTGGTTGGATCTGAGTGTGGCAATGGGGTTGTGGGAGGTGGCTGAATAAAGGACACCTTTGAAAGATTTGCCATAGAATTGGAGGTAAGATGTGAAAAAGAGAAGAATTGAATGACTTCAAGTGTCGAGATTGGAGAAATACCAGTGAATGAGATGAGAGTTAGGATTTGGGTTTCCAACATAATTTGAGATGACTCTAAGACAGCCAAGGTGGATAAGTGAGTTCTGGAGTCCAGGAGAGAGATGGGGGCTGCAGGGAGGACCTGAAGACATGAGACTGGGTGAGATCAGCTGGGAAGGAGAATGGGGAGAGAAGAGAAGGGCTGAGCCCTGGGGCACATAGAGAGATGAGGCCAACCAGCAAAGGAAACTGAAGAGGAGGGGCCACTGAGGTGGGAGGGGAACTCAGAATGTGATGCCCTGGAAACAAAGAGAAGAAAGTGTTATTAAAAGGGAATGATTGGGGCCTCCCTGGTGGCGCAGCGGTTGAGAGCTGGGTTGTGAAGCTGCCCGCGGCTCTGGCTCTGGTGAATTCTCTCACCCTCCCGCGCTTCTGACTGTACCCAGTGCTTGTCTAAACAAACAAACAAAACAAAACAAACAAATAAATAAATAAATAAAACATGCCTCTATTAAAAAAAATAAATAAAAGGGAATGATTAATTATGCTGAAAGTTGCTGCTGTGAGTCAAATAGTGCTCCCCCAATTCATGTCTATCTGGATAATTTGGGATTAGGGTCTTTGCAGATGTAATGAGCTAAGTTAAGATGAGGTCACACTGAATCAGGGCTGGCCCTAAATGCAGTGACTGGAGCCCTTACAAGAAGAGAGGAGAGCATATGCAGGCACACAGAAGGGGAAGGCCAAGTGAGGAGGGAGGCAGAGGGTGGAGGCTGCAGCTACAAGCCAGGGGATATGAGGCAGGCCAGCAGCTGCCAGGAGCTGGAAGAGGCGAGGAAAGAGTCTCTCTTAGAAACCACATGGAGCAAGACCCCACTGACACATTCATTTTGGATGTCTACCCTCTGGACTGTTTCATATAAGTTTCTGCTGTCTTAAGTCACTTAGTTTGTGGTAATTTGTTCCAGAAGCACTATGAAATTAATGCATGTTGCTGATGGGTTAGGCAGGATCCTGACTGACAAAGGGCCTTGGATTGGCAGCGTTGGCAGCCACAGATGACCTTGACAGAATTTTCAGTAAAGTGGTGGTTGTAAAAGTTTGATTGGAGTGGATCTGAGAGAGAATGGGAGGAAAGGCCTTAGAGATTGAGAGTAGAAACCATTCCCTTATTTTAAAGGGGAGGAGAAATGTAGCTAGAAGGGAATGGGGGAAATAAAACATGTCCAACATTAATGGAACTCATGCAGTAGAGAAACAAGAACTGATGATGTAGGAGAGGAGGAGACTGGGTGGTGTCCTTGGGGACTGATCATGGGGAGGCTGGATTACGGGGAAGTTGTCTATAGTGGCAGAAATGATAGCAGTGAGTGTGGGCGGACATGGCTGACGGATGTGGTGGAGAAAACTGATGGGCATTCCTTTCCGAATGCTTCTTTTTCCTTAGTGAAACAGGAATCAAAGCCATCAGCTGAGACTAAGGCTTGGGAGGAAACAGTGAAGGTTTGTGTTGTGAGAAGGGGTGAAATGGCCATTTGGGAGAGTGGGGGAGTATTTGTATTGGGCAACCCAAAGGCCCCACTTGTGTTAGTGGTTGTGAATTCAGAGTGTGAAGAATCAGCAGGCCTGTATATTTCCCTCTTGTCACAGAGCTGCCAGGTCCAGGTTGGGAGCAGGTGGAGAGCTGGATTAAAACTGCAAGTGCAGTGAAGCAAGAAATGAACAAGGCACTCAAGGATTGTATCAGTTATCTATTGCTGGGTAACAAACTGCCCCAGTCCTGAGCAGTTTAAAACAACAATAATCATCCATTTTTCTCATGAACCTTCAATTTTTGGCAGCGCTCTGATGGGACCTGCTTGCCTCTGCTCATCTGGGGCTGGTTTGACCAGGGAGGGAGGATTTACTTTTAAGATGGTGTGGTAAATAGATAAAAGGCCTCCAAAGATATTAAGTCCTGGCCTCTGACTTGGCAAAGAAAGGAAGTGTCACCTTATTTGGAAAAAGGACTTTTGCAGCTGTGATTAAGTGAAGGAACTTGAGACAGGGAAGTTATTTTGGATTATCTGTGTGGGTCTTAAATGCAATCACAGGTGTTTTTGTAAGAGAGAGGCACAGGGAGAGGCACAAGAGGGTGTAGACCAGAGGGGAAGAATGGAGTGATGCAGCTGTCATCTGAAGATGCCTGGAGCTGCCAAGAGCTGAAAGAGAGAATAAATTCTCCCCTAGAACCTCCGAAGGAGTGCGGGTTAGCCGATGTCTTGACTTTTGGACTCTAGAACTGTGAGTGAATGAATTTATGTTGCTTCAACCATCCAGTTTATGGTAATTTGTTCTAGCAACCCCAGGGAACTAATACAGATGGCAACTTATGTGACTGGTAAGTTGTTTCTGTCCATCATCCATGAGCTCAGCTGGTGCAGAAGCTGGAGGGCCTTAGTTCTTCTCCACACAGACCTCTCAGGCATAGTAGATGGTTCCAAGAATGAGTGTCCAAAGAAAACAAGGCAGAAACTCTCTCACCTTTTATAACTTCACCATGGCATCATTTCTGCCATGTCATAATCGCACCTAGGAAACAGGCTCATGGGAAGAGAGTCAAAGTCATATAAGAAGTGCATATGAGTGGGATATGCTGTTGCAGCCAGTTTTTAGAACATATAACTCTCCACAAAGGTAATATAAGGAAGTAATGATGATAATGATGATGGTGGTGGTGGTGATGGTGGTAGTGATGGTGATCATGGTGGTGGTAGTGATGGTGGTGGTGGTGGGGTTCTTGAAACTGAGGTTATGGAGTGAGAACAGTATGACCATGACAGTGAGTGACTGAGAGGAAGTCAAAGAATAACAAAGCAGGCTGGTGAAAGAAACATTATATGGATCTTGAAACTAAGTCTGTGTGGTAAAAAGAATACCAGTGAGCCAGGAGTTAAAATCTTTAGGGGCTCAGGGGAAGGGGACGGCAGGTCTGTAGGTGGCCAGGGGAAGGAGGAGTGGGTGCTCTGATGTGATGGGATGGATTCAGAGCTAGCAGCATTTGGCTTGGGTGTGGGACGGAGTTCTGGAAGCAGCAATGAGGAGCAGTAAGGAGCAGTGTGAATGGCAGCAGGAGTGTGGGAGAGAAAACAGGCGTTCTGGAGAGAGCTACACGGAAGGGGATCCCTAGGGAGATCAGATTGCAGTTGGAGCCAGAAGGTGAATGTCTGCATAAGTTTAGCTGAGGATAGAGGGGTGGCAGAGGGAAGAGTGGGGTAGGGATGTAGAGCCCAGTTAAGGATAAGAGTCCTGAGCATGGGGAGGTAGGAGCCTTCAGTTTCTTGGGGTGACAGACATGAACCAGGATGTAGGGCATGATGGGATTTGATTTGGGGGCCTTAAGGTCAATCATGGTGGTGTATCTGGACTCTGAGGGCTGGAGGGAGGAGGGTGGATGGTGTGGGACTTTGCTGGGAACCGTGGAGCTCTGGGGGCTCTTGCTTTACTCCTCTGCATGGCAGTGGGAGGCCAGAGGGAGATGCATGTGTCCAGGAGGGCTCCGAGTTCACGGATATTAGTTGTTACTGTCATTGTCATTATTTTTTAGGTCAAGCTGCTCATTTTATAGATTGGGGATGGGCATTATTGCACTTATGTTATAAATATACGTTTTCCTGGCTTCTCCCCAGGACTGTGAGCTCCTGGAGAGCAAAATCTTCATCTTGTTGCCTTGAAATCCCCATTACCCAGCACAATGCTTAGCCCAGAGTATGGTTAGCTCAGCATGTGTTAAACAAAAGAGGTTCAGAGAGACATACTGACTTAATCAAGGTCACACAGCAGAAACAGCTGGACATGTCATCCAGACTCCTGATTCTCAACTTTCTTGGAACTCTTGCAATATCTAAGTTCCTCTAATTCTTGCAGTGGTTATTTCTTCCCTTTATTTCCTTCCCTTTTGACCATTTATTTTTCAGCAGCCTCAGCTGGAGTTTGAAGTCCAGAACCTCCATCAGTGTTCAAAGACTTTCTCAAATTCTGTTCATGTGTAATCTTTAAAAGGTCTCTCTTTTCCCCACTGGTGACCTTCCCTAGGGGGCCGCTGGTAGGCCCTAAAATAGGAAAACTGTAGGCTGGTTAAATAGGGCTTTCAGATAATGGAATAAACTACTGACAGGGGAGCAAAAAGGGAAAGAGGCGGGTCGCTCCCTCCTTTTAATCTGTTTCAGTCTTGGCATTGGGGTTGCTTAAGTCCATTAGCCTGTGTTAATTTCTGTAGTGCTTTATGGTGAAGAGATGTAATTGGATGGAAATATTCTTTAAGTGGGAGTGATTCACACGCTAAACTGACAGGCCGAGATAAGCCCATTAAGGGGAAGAAGAGCATCTTCTCAACCTATCCCAAAATTTTTAGGCATGAGAAGAGAGCATCCCATGACCTAATGCTAACCTCTTGATCAAGATAAAGTTGCCATCTGGGGTCTTATCACAACTCCTCTTAGAGATGGGATTTGGAAATTCTTCCTTTGGCCCCCAGGAGAAAAATGATCATTTCTTGGAATGAGAAAGGGCAGGAGGAGGATAAAATCTCAAAGTCTTTGGGTAGCATTCTGGAGGAAAAGGAATTGATTCTTTGCATTGTCCCCTCAGAGGGAGAGAATTGGCGCTAACGTGGGGTGGATGTCCCAGGAAGAGAGTATGACACTGTATTATGTCAAAAATCTCTAATGGGCTTCCCTGGAGGGTGAACCCCTAGTCCTGGGAGGTGTTGAATCATGTGTGAAGAGTGAGAAGACGCCAGGCAGGCAAGGCAGTGTGGTGGGGCAGAGCACACCCAGGAGTTCTTACCTTCCCTGTGCAGATCCATAGTAAGTCCTTTTGGTGCTGTATCCAGAATGAATCCCAGCCTTCTACTGCTCCCACCTTCACTGCTAGAATCCCAGTTCAAGACATTAACTTCTCCCCCTGGACAGCAGCAGTAACTTCTTTTTTTTAAAGATTTATTTATTTATACAAGAACTGGGGTACAGTCAGAGGTGCGGGAGGGTGAGAGGATTCACCAGAGACAGAGCGGGGAGCAGAACAGGCAGACGGATTGAAGACACTGCTGAGGGGAGCAGCGGGCAAGGCAGGAGAGGTCTGCCATGCCATGTGGATTTCTCCCTGGCCAGCCGGGAATCGATCCCGTGCTGCAGAGGCTGCAGACAGCTTCACAGAGCGGCGCTCAACTCACTGAGCCACCGGGGCGGTCCAGCAGTAACTTCTTAACTATCTCTTAGGCTCAACTCTTCCTAATCCATGGTCTGTTTTTCCCACAGCAGCGTGAGTGATATTTTAAAAATGTAAATGAGACCAAGCTACCCTGTAAACCAGAATAACAAACCCGCCAATGGTTTCACATTGCTTTTACTCTAAAACCCAAACACTTCCATAGTCCACTGCTCTCACTTACCTCTGACCTCACCTCAAATCATGGCCCCTGTGTAAGCTAGAATCCCACTCATTTCTCTTCCTCAAAAGTGTCGTTTGTGTCCATTCAACTGCTTCCATGGTTCCCCTCTCCCTGCAAGATCACCCTCTATGAGAACAAATTCTGTGAAGAGGACCCCTTTGTCATGAGAGATTAACAAAAATCATCATCAAGAGGATGGGACATCTGGTCTACCTGGCTCCCAGCTGTGATCATGTCTGTGGTCTGCCTGGGTCTTTGGGACCTTGACTCTGCTGATCACCACCCTCGTTCCTTCTAATGCTGGCTTCATAATACTCAAGTGTCTCTAGGTCCACATCCAAGGCTTTTTAATAGCAGATCTCGTTTTATCTGCCGTGATTATGCCTGGACTGTCAGCTGCTACTTTACTCTGCTTGGGCGGTCGCCTGCTCCATCCTGCACCACCAGTTTTAAGTTTTTCTCTCAGTGCCCTGAGAACTGGTCATCATCACACAAGCAGTCCATGTGCTTGTTACAGAAGGGCCCATTTAGAGTGTGTAAAGGGTATTAGCTGCAGCTTTATCAGGGATGTGCTATTAGGAGTTAAATTTGAGTTGAATATTTCCCTTCTGGGTTGATTCATTTCTTACTTATAACACAAGCTTTTGAGGCAGGAAAGACGATTTTTGTCCACCTCTCATGACAGAGGGGGAAATAGGAACCAGGGAAGTAAAGCACCATGTTCAGATCACACAGCAAGTCAGCAGTGGATTTGAAGCTAGAACCCAAGTCTCCTGCTTCTTCACTCTGGATTTTGGCTACAGGGAACTGGAGATTGAGCTCAGTTTGCATTCAGCCTGGGCAGGATGCCCATTGCCTGCACTGGCTTGGCCATGCCCCCGGGCTCAGTGTGAGTGGCAGCAGCTGGAGGCCATTAGGATTGTGCAAGTCTCTCTTGCTCACACGCCCATCTGCAAACATTATCATTGGAGGCAGCCTCAGCTGGGATGGTGCACCCAGGTGGCTGTTCCATGCACCAGCTTGCATGCCCTACAGCCTCCTCTGAAGCTTCCTAACTTGGGAAATTTGAACTGGGCTTTCCAGAAGGGGAGTCAGGGCAGGGCTGAGACCCTGATGGTCCCACCCATGCTGTTATGATCCTGGGTTCAGCTAGTATTCTAGAGTGCTGGTTCTCAAAGAGGGCTGTGCTGCCCCCTATGGGGCATTTAGGGTATTTATGGGTGGTTTTTGGGTTGTCCCAAAGTTTGGGGAAGTTATTTAATAACATTTAGTGGGTGGGGGATCAGATCTGTTCAACCATACTACCTTGTGCCAGAAGATTCCACCTTAAAAAGTATCCACTCTCATCCCCTGTGCAATTTTCGTGTCTCACTGAAATGCATGTAAGTGAAATATCTGTTTACATTTTTGTATATCTAGACCCAATCTCTCTCCAGACACACACACACACACACACCCCCATATACACACACACAGACACATATATTTCCATATAATATTTTGTGCATGGTTACTTTTTAAATTTTATGACTTTTAATTTAAATTAAGTCTTTTTTTTGAAATTATTATTTTTTATTTTTTTTAAAAAAATCAATTAGTTTACTTATACCGGCAACCACCATTGAGAAAGCATAATAATGAAAAATATATTCACAATGGCAACATAGAGACAAAGGTCCAGGAATAAACTTAGGCTCCCCCAGACTCCACCACCACCACCACCACCAAAAAAAAAATAACAGTAACACAGCTTCTACATGAGACAATTGCAAAGCTTTCTGGCAGAGGCTAAGAGATGACTAGCAACATGTTCTCAGACAAGTGAACTAATTGTTGTACAAGTGCCAATTCTCCCCAATTTAATGAAGTAAACATCAAAATCAACAAGCAACTATAAACCAGAGACACACTACAGGGGGTAGGAGGAGGGAATAGGATCAAAACAAGGGTGGGAATTGTATGGGGACTATAACCAAGATGAAAATGCATACATTGTGCAAAAATGAAAAATGTTGTAAAAAATATATGAAGTCTAATTAATTTTTAATTGAGGTAATAGTTGGATCCTCCCATCAGGTATTGCCACCATAGAGTATGTGAGGATTTTAAAATTCATGGACCTTTTCAGGGATGGGTTAACAAATGTATACTGTACTTTTATTTAAAACTTTATCACAGGAGTTGTTCACCATCAGAAAATTATTCTGTTGGTGGCCACTGTGGAGTATAAGACACTTCCCCCGCC